GAAATGTTTGGTAGAATTCAACAGAGAAGCCATCAAGTCCTGGGCTTTTCTTTATTGGGAGAGTTTTTATTACATGTTATAGTTTGTTGAGGTTTTCTATTTCTCAATGATTCAATCTTGGTAGGTCGCATGTCCAGGAATTTATTCATTTCTTCTAAGTCTTTCAACTTATTGGCATATAATTGTTCATAATAGTCTTTAGTGATTCTTTGTATTTTTGTTGTCTCAGTTGCTGTCTTCTTTTTTGTTTTCTGATTTTATTCATTTTGGTCTTCTCTCCTTTTTTTCTTAGTTTAGCTGCAGGTTTGTTACTTTTATTTTTTCAAAAAAACAACTTTCATTTTGTTGATCGTCTGTATTAAGTTTTTAGTCTCAATTTCATTTATTTCTTCTCTGATCTTTATTATTTTTTTCCTTCTACAAATTTGGGTTTGTTTTTTTCTTGATTTTCTAGTTCTTTGAGATACATTATTAGGCTGTTTATCTGAAGTCTTTCTGCTTTTTTGACTTAGGCATTTATTGCTATAAAGTTCCTGCCTAGCACTTCTCTTTCTGCATCTCACAGATTTTAGTATGTTGTGTTTCCATTTTCATTTGTTTCAAGACATGTTTTAACTTCCTTATTAATTTTTTCATTGTCCCATTGGTCATTTAGGAGCATGTAGTTTAATTTTCATGTGTTTGTGTATTTTCTGAGGTTCCTCTTGTTACTGATTTCTACTTTTATCCCACAGTGGTCAGAAAAGATACTTTACATGATTTCCAATTTTTTTTTACTTCATTCAGATTTATTTTGTGGTCTAAGATATAGTATATTGTTGAGAATGTTCTGTGTGCTGATAAAAAGAATGTGTTCTGTAGCAGTTGGGTGAAATGTTCCATAAATATCAGTTAGGTCTTGTAGATCTAGCATGTGTTTAACTGCTTTTGTTGATTTTTGTCTGAGTGATCTGTTCATTACTGAGAGTGGGGTATTGAATTCTCCTACTATTAATGTATTGCAGTCTGTCTCCACCTTTGGATCTACTAATGTTTATGTTAGTTACTTGGGAGTTCCTGTGTTGAGTGCATATATATTTATAAGTGTTATATCCTCTTGCTGAATTGACTCTTTCCCCATTACACAGTGACCTTCCTTGTCTCTTTTTATAATCTTACATTTGCAATCTGTTTCATCTGATGTAAGACTAGCTACTCTTGCTTCTTTTTTTGTTTCTAGTTGCAAGAAGTATCTTTTTCTACCACTTTTCTTTCTGTTATGTGTGTCTTTTAGGTGAAGTGAGTTTCTTGAAATCATCAGAGAGCTGGGTCCTATTTCTTTATTTATTCAGCCACCCCATGCCTTTAATTAGAGAATTGAGACCATTTATGTTCAGTACTATTATGGGTAAGGACTTACTGCTGCCATTTTGTTTCCTGTTTTCTGATCATTGTGAGACTTCATTTTTTCCTTTCTTATAGCCTTCCTTTTTTAAAGTTAAAATGATTTTGAAAATCTGCTTTAGTCATTTTATGTCCACCTTTTAAAGTAATACTATTTACTTCTACCTTATATTTTGTGTTTTATTAATTTTCCACTTTTATCTTTAGTATTGTCTTCTTCTATGTAGTCTATATTGATTTTGTGATTTTTCTCAGTGTTTTAATTGTTGCTTTTTGGTTTAGTGAATTTGTTATAGGTTTTTTCTGTAGTAGTTACCATGAGGCTTAACAAAAAACATCTTATAGATATAATAAGTTATTTTAAAGAGATGACTACTTAGGTCACAAATAAAAGAATAGAAACAAAGACCAAAAAAGACAAACATAAAATCTGCACTTTAATAACTTTCCCACTATATTTTAACTTATTTACCTAAACTTACTTATTTTAAAATTATTTATTTGTTAAGAGATTGCTATAGATATTACTGTTTTGATAGATTTGAATTTTGGGCTTCAAATTAGACTTACGAGTGGACTGGGTCCAACAATTAAAATAACAGAATAGTCTGGGTTTGTCTACATAATTATACCTTGAGAAGTTTTTTTTTAGTATTTTTTTCTTTTAGATTGAAGAACCCTCTTTATCATTTCTTGTAAGACAGATTTGGTGGTGGTGGGTTCTGTTCTACTAGCTTTCGTTTGTCTGGGAAAGATTTTGTTTCTCCTTCAGATTTGAAGGATAATTTTGCTGGATATAAAATCCTTGGATGGCAGGTTTTTTTTTTTTTTTTTTTTTTTTGAGCACTTTGAAAATGTAGTTATACTCATGTTAGACCTGTTTTCATTGAGAAGTCTGCTGCCAAACTAATTGGAATTACCTTGTATGTTTATTTCTTTTCTCTTGCTGCTTTTAGGATTCTCTCTTTGTCCTTCACCTTTGAAAGTTTGATTATCTATTTAATTTTTTAAATTATGTAAACCTCTTTGTTAAATTTCTCTGATAAATTTTGAATCACCAAGTTTCCTTAAAACTGCTGTTTTGAATTTTAAGTTAGAAATCTCACAAATTGCTGTCTTGTTAGATTTAGTTTGGATTTTTGCTTTGACTTTTTGGGAAGATAATAGTTCCCTCTTTGCCATTGTTTCCTGTGAGTGTATATGTCCATGTCTTTGCATTGAAGGATTATCCCTTGCAATTTTCTCTTCAGTTATATTCTGCTTGTGGTTATTATTGGATATGTTTGCTTAGCAAATCTTTACCACCAAATTCCTGCTTACTTTCTGGTCTAGGTGGTGCCTTGAGCCCAGGTGATGATTGGCATGCTAACCATCCTGAATGGAGTAGGCCCCAAAGGGGTGATTCTGGAAGTGCAGGAAGATTGACTAGGAGTGTGTGCCCAGGGGACCTGTGGAACTTATCTTCTCCAGCAGGGTGGATGAAGAGCCTCTTTGATTTGGTGTCTTCTTCGTCTGAGTTACAGAGGAGAGTTTCTAGGGCTAGGGATAGTAGTCCTGTATTTCCTCAGGGATAGTTCTCCCGACAATGGCAAGGACAGGTCTCCTACCAGGGAACCCCCAATACTGGTTGCCCACCTCAATCTCACTTTTTCCAGTGTAAGTGTCAGTTGTCAAAAGGTTTCCCGTGTGCTTATTCCTGAGCAGAATAGGAGGAGAGGCATTGCAGATGTGGAAGTTCAATTCTCCTATCATCTGCCTGGAGTTTTTACATTTCTCTGTGGTCCTGGAATATAGCTCATTCTCATATTTGAGTTTTGGGTTATTGCTGGTGAAAATCTCAGCACTGCTTATTGGTTTTAGCTTTCTATGGGTGAGAAGTGAAGTCAGCTGGCTTCTCTGCTGCCATTTTAAAACAGTATGTTATCTCTATCGTAAAATGATTTTTATCTTTTTCTAATTATATGCAAATACATCTAGTTTCTTATTACTTATTCTAACTCTAGTTTTTATTCTAGGGCACACCTGTACATATGCTTACTCAGCTATGTATTATTAATTATTATTATTAATTAATATTAACTTGTCATTCCTTCATTTATTTTTATACTTCATATATGAAAGACTACCAGTCTTTCTTGTAAACCTAAAACTTAGTCATTTTAATTATGTGTAGTTCTTAGGCAATTCCCTTACATCTTTTGGAATAGTTTTATCTGAACATACACATAGGGAATGTGCATCATTTTATTATGGATTAGTTTTATTTTGTCTTGATTTTATATTAGAGTTAGGAAACTATATCAAATTCAAAAAATCAATATGTAAGTTATTTTATCTACAAATTTTTATTTAATATATTAAAGATGGCATTATGTAATATTTATACAAAAATGGCATGTTGTCTGATAGAGCTGTGAACACTGCAATATAATCTCCAAGTTTCTTTCATATCTAAAATCCTAAGGCTAGGTTTCTCTAACCCTACTAAGAATAATGAACACACCTGTTTCCCAGCACAGGATATTTTTCACTCACAAAAATGTATATTAAGTTGAATGTACTCTTTTGATAGCATAAATGTCTATTTTCTATTCCTAAAAGATAATTTACTTTTACTTAAAAACTCACTGCTTTTCTGTTAGTATTTCATTGAGTTGAGAGGCTCTTGCTGAATTAAGCATGAAAACAATAGCTCTCTTGGCATGATCGTTTTACATCCATACCTGTGCATTCTTCTTACCTAGCTTGACAAGGCGGAGCATGGAGGTATTACTTCCTCTTTCAGTACAGGCAGTTACTGAGAGATTGTAGATGTCTCCTGGAGGCAAGCTGAGAATTGCTGTCATGACATTGCGCGTTACCTGCAAAGTCATCAAAATTGAGGGCTTAAATTTCTGAGCAAGTCATCATACCACCCCAAACAATTACAATGCTCTAGCAGCCATTCTCTCTCTGTTCTTGTAATTTATTATATTATGGATACAAAAATTACACAAAGTCCTCAAATGGGCCAAACGCAAGATAGCCCTAGAATTGTTTAATATATATCAGATAGAGCAATTTTACAGTTAGTTCTCATATTTGGGGTAGGTATTACTCTGATATTTTCCCATATACTCATAGTAGATTTCAGAAAAGGCAGTTGCTGGGGTGCCACCACTATGTGCATGAGAAGAAGCTCAGAAGAGACCTAACTACTGGATAGATGTGTGGCCCCCTACTAAGTACAATATTTCCCATCCTCCCCACAGCTAGCAGGGACCATGTGACTCAGTTCCCACCAATGGATGGTAAGTGGAAGTCACGTGGGCAGCTTATAGCTAAGGTCCATGTGCTCCTGCCCCTTCCTGCAGGCTGAAACATGGATGTAATGGTGATGAATATTCCTCGTTGCAGATGAGGACAACACACAGTGGCAGAAGGAGCAACAAAGCAGAAAGAAGCTGGCGCCTTGCCTGGCTCCTTACAGCGGAAGTGCTCTGTTGGTCCTGTGCTATCATGGGAGAGGTGTAAGCTCTATTTGTTTGTACTACTCTCCTTTTGTTTATTTCTTCAGTATCATAGTTTAGTCTGCACCCCTATCAATACAATGCTAAAAACATAAAAAAAAAAATAGAAGAAAAGAAATCAGTATTTCCAACATACCCAAATCTTTAGGTATTGGTCATATATGTATGTATGAAAAAAATGAAATATATAAATGGTAATATTCTTGAAATTGTTTGGCATCCTAAAATAAAAGCTAGAAGCATAACTTTAAATAGAAGTAAAATCAATTGTCACAAGTATTACAGCTCACTGTAAACATCAGAAGGTAAGCTCTATGCTTTCATTTAAGAAATAATTTAATTTTTGTTTATTGTCTTATCCCCAGAGCCTAAAACAGCAATAACTGGCATACAAATAGGCGTTTGATGTCTCAAAAATGTTTGCTTAATGATTTTCAATAGCTCGTACAACTACATGTACAGATTTGCCTAATACTGGGATTCAATGAAACATACACTCTTTTTAATTTTCTTCTTTCCTTCTGCGACAACCATCCAGTGTAGCATTCTAGAATGGGAGAGGTCAGTTGTGTCATCCCCATATGTCCAACTGATGTATAGCAGACTGTTGAAATATTCTACAGAAGTGATTTCTGGAGCCACGGGGGCTACAAGACAGGAAAGAGGCATAATTTAGTATAATAGACTAATAAGTTAAGTGCTTATTAGCAGAGCATGAAATCTTGTATAGTATTAACTCAGAGAATTAAGTCACAAAACAGTCCTAGGGACTCCTGGACTTCTTGGTAACAGAGTGAAGGTTAGTGATATAGGGTGGGCATTTGTTTTTGGGACCCCACCTTATATATCTAAGACATAAAACAGCCAGACCCATCTGTGCCGGGGGATATCAAAATATTCCATACAAATTTCTGTTATGATTCCTAAAATGTTTACTTGTTTGAGTATATTTGTTATATCCCATAAATTCATATAAATAGGAAGTTATCATCCAAGGAGTATTAGAAAACTTGGGGTCCTCATCCTGTTACTTTATTTTGTAATCTTAAATATTTAAATTTTGAAAGTTTTTCTAACTGGGGAAGAGGGTTCATCACAGACTGTATAATATACAAGCGCTGAAAGCATACTTTAACTGATACCATTACTTTTTAAAGTAACCAATAATTCTGAAGATTAAAAAAATCCATAGTAGAATATATGTGTATGTTGGTTTAAAGACAGCAAAAAGAGTTCCATTCTGAGATATATCACAATATCAATATTTGGAAAATTTCTATAAGCCATAAAGAATTATTCCTTAATATCACAACTAGCTATGCTTTGAAAAACAAAATTATTTGTTACATACAAAGTAAATAACACATTTCTATCTCATGTGAAATTGAAGTATGTTTCTAGTACGCTTAATAAAAAAATCTTGAAATATCAACAATGCATCTAATAAGTAACACAAGTCTACACTGTACTTCAGAATATTCAACTTAAGGAACATAACCTCAGCTTTCTTATAACCTTTTAATACATTCCAACATACTTCTTTGTGTGTAAATACCTATACATATATTTCTTCAAAGTATTTTTTTGTTCTAATTTTAGTAAGGACAAAATACATCTTAAAAATTACTAACTCAGAAGTTTGTATTTTCCCCCTTTCAGGTATGAGGTCTTCATGTTTTTATGTTCTATGTTGTTCCTTTAAAATTTAGCATATTGCTGCAAGACCACAAGATGTCACTATTTATTTACTAATAATTATTTAGTACCCTGGCGTAATTACTATGAACTTGCAGACTAAGTTGTCTAACAAAGATGGTAGACTTGAGTTCCTAATAAATCATATTTAATTCAAATATTGTGTACCTATTTCCTCTTATACCACACAATTTGGCAATTTAAATTAAAATTGAAAGCGTAGGAAGGTAAAGCGTGAGATCTTTATTTGCTTTAAATAATATCTATACTTGAAATAAGGGAAGAAAGGCAAAAAAATGCAAAGAACCCTATTGGAATTTCAAATGGTTTAAAAAATACAAATTAAAATAATCGATCATGTATATTTTAATAATGATCTATACTATGTAATTTAATTCTCACATTACCTATGAGGTATTTGGTACTATTATTCCCATTTTATAGATGTGAGAATTGAGATCATCTGTATCCATATGCTCAGATAAGGCTATATGTCAGTGTCAACATCACTTAGTTATTTGTCCCAGTAAAAGATACATTTCTAAAGATTGATGAATATTTATTGGAGATAAGAGCTGCTCATCCAGGCAAATAGCTTGCTTATTAAGCAGACTTTATTCACCCAGACTTGCTATGTCCACCTAGTCTGTTCTAAAGTTTGTCCAACCCCAGTTGGTTTCCAATCATGAAAGGCACAACATAAACCCCTTGAGTCACAACAGCAAATCCTGTTAGTATTTCATTTCCGATGTCCCCCTAATGAGATACTGCAAGGTGGTGTTCTAATATATTAAGGTTTACTCTATTCATCAGCTGTTGGTTACAGTTTGGAGGATTCTACCAGTGAGAAAATAGAAGCCTCAGAACCATTAAGATAATTTACTCTGGCCAGGGACCTCTGCTTACAGCTGTAATCCTAGCATTCTGGAAGGCCAAGGAGGGTGGATCACCTGAGCTTGGGAGATGGACCAGCCTGAGCAACAGTGAGACCCTGTCTCTACTAAAAAAGTAGAAAAAACTAGCTGGGCTTGGTAGAGCTACTTAGGAGGCTGAGGCAAGAGGATCATTGGAGCCCAAGAGTTTGGAGGTTGCTGTGAGCTATGATGAGGTCAAGGCACTCTACTCAGGCTGACAGAGTGAGACTCTGTCTCAAAAAAGAAAGGCAATTAGTTCTAAATTTTATAGCACGAAATGAACAAATCCAGGTTGGGATGCTAAGTGTTGGCTTTTTCCAGATAGTTGTCCTGTCTGAGAAGGAAAGATCCATCTCAGAAAGTTAACATCAATAACATTAAACTGTAAGAATTACTGATACACTTAAGTTTAATTATAATTAAATAAGTGAATATTAACATAGTCAAGGGCCTAACACAGTGCTTGTCAAAGATTGATATTTTTTCCTTTTTGTTATTATTTCACTTTTCTACTCTGATATTACTATTAACATCTGGAACAAATAGTAAAGGAAAGTGACATACCATGTAAATTAATTGTGTAAAAATTCACATATAATTGATTTTTTTCCCTGCTTATTTTTATTTTTGCCACGGGCAAGTTTTAACAGAGTAAAAACTAGATGTCCAGCAAGGAAATTATTTTGCCAAATTATTCTTTATCAAAGCAATATTTTTCTTCTCTGTTTTCTCAGTACAACTGTAATACCTCAAAGCACTGCAATAAAAATTCTTGAAAAAAAAA